ACACATGTTCTATGAGTAATTCCCTAAATAAATGTGCAGCCAAACAAAGAAGCAGTAAGATCAAATTCCAGTGTTTTTTCTTAGCTGGAATAAAATTAAAATTCAAAAATTAGGTTAATAGGCTTCTACCCTTTTTGATCAGTTATAGTCTGGTGGAGACGATGTCAGGGAGGAGGAGGGGAAAGAACCTGTCAGTGATAGTGCTGATGGAGTTTGGAGAAGGAGAAAGTTAGTGAAGTTGGAGTTGGTGAGAATGTATGGATTGGTGCTTTGTACATTGTTTTTTCCAGTAGTAGTTATACTCTTTTTGTCAATTCTGCCTTGTGAGAAGGAGTAATAGTAGGTGGTGTAGCCTAGTCACAGATCATTGTTCTTCCTAGTGTACAAAGCAACTCAGAATTAATAGCAGTCAGGGATGATTACTGTTAGCTCCCTTTCCTCCTAATGTTAAGAGCTCCGACCCAGAAAAAAAATATCATTTGAGGCCTATAGACTAATAAAAATAATCTTTTTCTTTAATGTAAAGAAAAATAAAACATTCCGTTTACTTTTTTAAAAATTGGAAAGTCGGAACATAAAACTCTTTAGTATAACTGCTGATCTTCGGGGGAAAACCAGTCTCTTAGTGAAGAGAACAGCATTACCCTTTGGGCCAAATGGAACCCAGCCAAGAACTAAACCAGATCTTTTTTCTGAGATTTTCTAGCTTTGACTCTAAGTCAGCACTTAACCTCAGCACTATTCGCTATTCAGGGTGATCATTCTTTGTTCTGAGGGACTCTCCTGCGCATGATAAGATGTTTTAGCAGCTTTTCTGGCCTCTACCTACTAGATGCCAATAACACCCCTCCCCCTCCAGTTGTGACAACCAAAATGGTCTCAAGACATTGCCAAATAGGAGGTAAAATTGCTCCTGTGGGGGTCCTCTTCCCCTCTGCCCTGCAACCCACCTTTTGAGAATCACTGCTCTAAGTGTATTACAGAATTGGTTGATCAAGAATGTTTTCCCAATTTTAGTTCTACTTTTAAATATTTTGTCGTATTTTAAGTATCTTGGTGGAATAAGCTTTACTTTTAAGAACTGTAAAAATAAACTGGAAACGCATTTCTAATTTAGGGGTGAAAATGAGAACGAGGTCTTTCCTTGATTTGCAAATTCAATGTTAAGACCTTTGCATGCCTAGCAGTGTTTTTCAGATTGCAGTTGGGGACACATTAGGGGGTCATGAAATACTTTAGTGGCTCATGTGCGTGCATGCAAGAATGTATAGGGTCACAATGTAAAAGGTATTTCTTTTGGAATAAACAAAAAACATATGTGTATGCCTAGCCTTCCCTTTCAGACTAGAATATTCTGAACATATGCTTCATAGCAGTAGGTGCTTAGTTAAGCTGTTTATCCAGTCAGGTTAAACTTGTCAAATATTTTTTGAGATACAAAGCATTCAAATGTGTTCGTTGCTGAAGATTGGAGACCTGTTGTTAACTTTAGTTTCTGGTGCATATCATCTTGCTTGCAAGAGGAGGGAGCTCGCAACTCCATCACATAGTTTAGAACATTCTTGGCACGTTACGTGTGGACTGTTCCTGCCCTCCCCCTACACAAAGTGATGAAAAAAGACAACTCTGTAATTATTGTCTTCATCAGCATGCATGCAAAAGTCTTGTTTTTCATCAGTTAGTATTTCTTTTGTTAACTTTTGTAGAAATTATCCTTCATGTTGGAAAGGGCAATAAATGTTTTGTGTATTTAGAATCAAACATGAGTATAAGACATCTAAAAATTACTCCTAACACTCTGCTTGTACTCTTTGTAAAAATCATTTTTAAATGACAACCTTGAGTTGAATAATAGCCTACGGGGAATGCCTTAAGTGTGACAGTCTGCCACTACAAAGTTGTAGATTCAGCTGTTAATAGAAAATTCCTGCGTTTCTGAAATTCATCTACACTTTCAATCACCTAAAAAGCTGCCTTTGTTTCTATTTACTAAAAACCATACGTTTATATTTGGAGTTATTTCGTTTATTCGGTGGTTATTTTTTGAAGATTGAACCACCTACAGGAAGAGTGTTTTCATCTTTTCAGTAGTAAGGACATTTCAGACTAGTTTTATAATGTTAGCAACTCTGTCTTAGGGTGGTAGTGTTTTCCTCTGAGGAAAAATGTTAATGATTGTTTAAGAGTAATTTATCTTACAATTCATTTATTTTCACAGTAGATTTTTTTTATATCCCTATGTTTTTAATTTAGCTGATATCCAGCAGAGATATTCGAGGTATTTTCATGCCAGTTTCAGGGGAAATTTGTGTTGGGGTTTTTTTTGTTTTGTTTTGTTTTGTTTTGTTTTTTGTGGACTGTATAACATCCTACATAGTATATTTGCAAGAGACCAGTGGATATATTGCACAAAAATCCACATGTTTGTTACATTCTGCACTTATATATTTTTGTATTACTGAGTTGCTAAGCCTAGTTCTTGTGTGTGAAATGAAAGCAAGTATAGAAGATAGCTAAAATTTAATGTTGATTAAAAACTAAGCTTTGTGTGAGAGATAATTGTTTCGAAAGCCAGGTTTCTAGTACTGACCTTTAAAAGTAGACTAAGGAGCAATACTAATATGGATTCAACAATAAAATTTCTTTATCAGCCAAGGATATGATTTTTAAGTATTGTCATAAGAATTTAGGTACAAAGTTGTTCCATCATTAAAGTTAGTTTTGAGACTAGTTTGAAATTACTTTTTCGTAGATTAACGTACAGTTTCCTTATTCAATTAATAAACATTTATTTAGCATCCACTACTTACTAAATACTATATGAAGTTTTTATTCATAGGCTTTTAAAAGCTTTTGTCTTTTCTAGCAAATATTAGCACTGCGTTGTTCTTAAAAATAATCAACATAGTAGAAAGTTCTGTTACAGCCCTCTGTGTCCGTATTGAGTTGGGAACTCAGCAGTGTCACTTTTAACATAGTTCTTGTGTAAGTGCTCTACTATTCCGAAAGGTGATTATAAATAACTCTTTTGAAGGACAAAATGCTATTATTTTAAAAGAATATATTCATCCTCCTACTAGAAAGAGATTTATTTGAATCTCATTGTTACGGAATGCTGAACAGTACAATCAGAGCAGCTGCTGAAACTCCTAAATGAGCATTAATTTTTTCTTCTGGGTACTCAGTGAAAACAAAGCACAAACTTTATGATAAAGAATGCAAGTATTTCATTTTTACAAACATGTTGTTATCTAAGTTTCTGTATTTAGCTGCTGAATAAATTTCTGGAGCAAATAATGCTGCTGCCAAGATATAAAGGTCATTTTTTTCTAATCCTTAATTTTACTTCTCCTTATTCTGTAGGGAAAAAAATAAGGTGTGTGAGAGGGACTACTAAAAGGTTAAATTTCAGTAAATATAGAATTAAACTTCGTTATATATTGCTTTAATAATTTCAAGAAAGAGTGCCTTGTAGTCTGTTATCCAGTCAGTAATCTGCATAATCTTTAGTACATAGTGTTTTTTAGAAGTCATTCAGCTTCTCACATTTATGCAGCCAACAGACATGTGAAAGAAATGCTCATCATCACTGGTCGTTAGAGAAATGCAAATCAAAACCATAATGAGATACCATCTTATGCCAGTTAGAATGATCATTGAAAAGTCAGGAAACAGATGCTGGAGAGGATGTGGAGAAATAGGAATGCTATTACACTATTGGTGAGAGTGTAAATTAGTTCAACCATTGTGGAAGACAGTGTGGCAATTCCTCAAGGATCTAGAACTAGAAATACCATTTGACCCTCCAATCCCATTACTGGGCATATACCCAAAGGATAATGAATCATGCTACTAGAAAGAAATACGCACATGTATGTTTATTGCAGCACTATTCACAATAGCAAAGACTTGGAACTAACCCAAGTGTTCATCAGTAATAGACTGGATAAGGAAAACGTGGCACATACACACCATGGAATACTGTGCAGCCAAAAAAAAGGATGAGTTCATGTCTTTTGCAGGGACATGGATGAAGCTGGAAACCATCATTCTCAGCAAACTGTCACAAGGACAGAAAACCAAACACTGCATGTTCTCACGCATAAGTGGGAGTTGAACAATGAGAACACATGTACACAGGGAGGGGAACATCACACACTGGGGCCTGTCGGGATGGGGGGCTGAGGAAGGGATAGCCTTAGGAGAAATACCTAATGTAGATGACGGATTGATGGGTGCAGCAAACCAACATGGCACATGTATACCTATGTAACCTGCACATTGTGCACGTGTACCCCAGAACTTGTATAATTTTTTAAAAGTAAAGAAAAAGAGATTATCATTCAGCTTCTCACAGATGTTTTAGTTCATGATTTGTAAATCGATGAAACTGATCACATATTTTTATATTTTACATTCACTTTTTGAACAATTACTCTTAAGTTGCTCTTCTTTTGAAGATTGGATTTATTATAACATGTATATGTATATTTAATAACTACTAATTTATATTTACTTTTATTTGTTCAGAATTGAAATCTCCTTGAACTTATAAATTATATAGGTAACCATTGATTATTTTGATCTAACTTGGCTTCTCTTGGCTCCTGTGAATAGATGTACTAAGAACAATGTTAAGTCTTGTGATTTGTTAAAGGATACAAAGTTACAGCTAGATAGGAGGAATCTACCACTGCAGGCTGGCTATAGTTAACAAAATTATGTAGTTTCAGGTAGTTTCAGGTAACACAAATGATAAATGTTTGAGATGATGCATTTGCTAATTGCCTTGATCTGATCACTATACATTGTATGTATCAGAACATCACTGTGAACCCCGTGAGTATGTACAATTATTTGTTAAAAAAATTAAATAGAAAGTATGGGTGGTGTAAAATGTTTGATGTCATACATATTTTTAAATCTTCACAAAAAATCGTTATAGAGGAAGTAAAATATGTGAGAGTAATTTATCATTCTTTTCACTTTTTTTTTTAAAGGTGATGGATGTGGACACACTGTACTAGGCCCTGAGAGTGGAACCCTTACATCCATAAACTACCCACAGACCTATCCCAACAGCACTGTTTGTGAATGGGAGATCCGTGTAAAGATGGGAGAGAGAGTTCGCATCAAATTTGGTGACTTTGACATTGAAGATTCTGATTCTTGTCACTTTAATTACTTGAGAATTTATAATGGAATTGGAGTCAGCAGAACTGAAATAGGTAGGACATTTTTTGTAAATGTGCCTGTAAATACATCATTGTCTCTATGATGTATTTTTTTGATATTAACATGAAATAACCATGCTGCATAAAGTGCTATGTGGGAAATTATTGAATATGTGTAAAAATCTCGAATTTGAGTCTTTTGGGAAGAGAAGATTCTTGTCTATTTATTTATTTTCCTAATAAACACATATTGGTACCCTTACCCAAGATGCCACTGTACTACTAAGAAGGAGGAAGTTAATTCTCTCTCTCTCTCTTTTTTTTTTTTTCTTTTTTGATATGAAGTCTCGTTCTTGTTGCCCAGGCTAGAGAGCAGTGGCGCAATTTTGGCTCACTGCAACCTCCATCTCCTGGGTTCAAGTGATCCTCCTGCCTCAGCCACTTGAATAGCTGATTACAGGTGCCTGCCACCATACCCAGCTAATTTTTTTTAGTAGAGATGGGGTACATGGTGGCCAGGCTGTTGGCCAGCCTGGTCTCGAACTCCTGACCTCAGATGATCCACCCACCTCAGCCTCCCAAAGTGCTGGGATTACAGGCGTAAGCCACTGCGCCTGGCCAGTTATCTCATTTTTAAAAATGTTTTCGTCTCATAATTTTATTTGCAGTTGAAGAATAAATATATAATTCATGCTTAGGAGACAGTGTAGCATGGTGATTATAAGCAAGGGTTTTGGATCCAGACTTCCTGGGATTAAAGCATAACTCTCATCAGCTTGCTGTGTGACTTTGGCCAGATTACCTGACCTCTCCATTTTTTATCTTGTGAAAAACACAGGGAATGAACTAGTATGTGTAATGTGCTTAGAAAAGTGAACGGCACCTAAGACATAATATATGCTGAGTAAATGGTAGTTGCCATTGTTGTTCTTGATTAAGAGCAGTGGTTCTCAATTGTAGCTGCATATTAGAGCCACCTAAGTAGTAAACAATACCATAAACCCAGTTACCGTCCTAGACCAGTTGAATCCGAATTGATTAGGTGGAACCCAGTCCTCAGTGTCTTAAACGCTTCCTGGGAAAATCTCTTTTGCAGTCAAGGTTAAAAACCTTTGATTTAGGCATCAGAACATTTCTTAAGCAAGAAAGGTGGAAAAATTTGTAAGGCTTTTTTAGGTGAACTAACATTATAAAATTAAGAATTCTCTGTGAGTTTTTTAGAAATATTTTTTGGTTCCAGTGTGTAAAATATCCTTCAGAACTATAATAGGAATCCAGTATACTGTTCTTTAAATACCGTACTGTGTTCATCCTCTGGCCTCCTCTCCATCTCTAGTGAAGTCCTTCATTTCTTCTTTACTTTTTGGCCTCTTACCTACCAGAGGAAAAATTCCTGCCCTATCTCCCAGGCTGCTGATTGATAAACTTTGGTGCTTCTCAGTCAGCTCTTGATTAACCTGGTGGTTTGAGCACCACGTGCATATTGCGTGAATATATGGTGTTGAACAAAGTTTTAGGAACACAAATCGCCTGAGGATGTAGAAAAACTTACTGTAATATTAACACTAATAGAAGATAACTGGATAGTAAATGTCTCCTGCAGATGCAGTAGAGAGCACACAGTACCACCTGGGACTTCTTTAAACAACAGTGGGAAAAAGTGAACCACAGTTTGGTCACCCCTCTAACACTTTACAGGAAATAAGGGAGATAGAGAAATACATTCTACTGACTGTAAGGTCTAAATTAAGGATATGTGAAATTCTGTAGAACAAACGACCTAGTTTCTTCAACATATAAATAGCATTTAAAAAAATAGGAGGAGGGGGAAGGGAACTGTTCTACATTGCGACGTATCTTCCTAAAGTAATATGTAGACTTTACTTGGATCTTGATTCAAGCTAACCACTGAAAGAAAATATTTTTAAGATTATCATAGAAATTTGAAGCTTTGGGCATTCAGTGATAGTAAAGAATTACTGTTTTAGATGTAATAATGTTAAAATTATTGTTAAGTTCTAATTTGTTAGAGACATTCTGAAGTTCAAATGTCTAGGATTTATGTTTAAGTATATCAGAAATAGGGAGAAGGATAGGAGAAACAAGGGCGCCTTGGTGAAGCTGAGTAATGGGCAGATGGGAATTGTTACACCTTCTTTCTACTTTTGTGTAATTTTGAAAATTCCAATAAAGAAAAGTGGTTTTGTTAAAATAAGGCAAGAGAATTATATCTTTAGACAATACATAGTGGCACTGTTGCTAGAGAGGAGGAGTGGCATGGGGAAGATTCTGAGCACAGGTTTTAAATGGCTCGCTGAGTTCTCAAAGCTCCCGGAGTTACTTGCTGAGAGTCCTTTTTCTACAAAGTGTTGAACCTGCCCAGACTTAACATAGTCACTTTCTGTACAGTCTGAAGATTAAAAGAAGTAATACTTTGCAGTGTTTGGTGTGTAGTAGGTATTTAATAAATCTCAGCTTACCCTTATTTCCATTGCTTTTTCCTGTTCTCCTCATGGGTGAATGGAAAGCTGCAGAAAGGTCAAGGGGCCTGAGTGATGATGGTCCCTGTTGGGCTTCAGTGTGTACCCACCCTTCCCCCATCACACCTACCATATACCCACTGGTCCTCCATTTGGTAGCAGCCTATGGTTAGTGGTAGAAAAGTTTCTTAACATATTGCAGAGAAATAAAGATAATTCAAGAATAGTCATTTAACATTCTGGTTAAGATAGGTCTGCAGACAACTACAGGATAGAAACAAATACATTGTGGGCATCAAGATTTCAGTGATAATGACACTGAATCTTTTTTTTTTTTTTTTCCTATATCACGTTTTCTCAGTGCCCCTTTAGAAAACAAGTATTAAAGGAGAAGAGAGTTCGTTGGTCTCTCTGTGTTTCTGATGTTTACATTTGAAGTGTATGGGCTAATTATTTTGTGGGATGTTTGTCTTCTGCTTCCTCATGATAAGATTCCAGTGTCAGACTTTTGGCAAGAATACCATAGAAGTGATGTTCTCAGTGTATCATATCATGGCACATGAGATTGATTTGTCCCATTTCTGGGGCTGTTAACTTTGATATTTTGGCTAAGGTGATGTCTCCCAGTTTTCTACACTGTAACTATGCTGCTCTTCAAAACCAATATATGTCTGATTGGGAGATTCTTTGAAATGGTGGAAATATCCTGTTACTCATCAAACTTAACACCCACTAGATTTGGGATATATTAATCTTGTATGAATCAATTATTTTCTAATTTCATTATTCCATCTATATTTATTACGTTTTTTTTTTTTTTCCTACTGAAAACAGGATCTTTCCCTTCTCTCCCATTTGTTTGTTTATCTCAGTGTGAAGTCAGTGGATTCGTATGTTAGGCCATCACTTATCACCCTTTCCTGTCATTATTTTGGTGCTCAGATTGTCCCAAATCTCCAGTGGGAGCCTCTTCATGCTAGCTACTGTGTCCTTTGGTGATGTCTTTATCATTCTTTGAGTACTTCTTTATATTCTGGCATGGGATATTCTAGATTTATCTTGTGCTTGCCCTACTCCAGCCCTGGAATCAGCCATTTCTTCAAGGAACCCTGATTCTTTTTAGTGGAGAATGGTATTAGAAATCAATGTCTGGTTGCTAGGTTTAGACCAATGAGCTACCATATGCCCTATCAACAGACAGATTTAGTAAATAGACATTTGTTTATACATATGCATGTACATGTACCTGTGTTATATCTTTTTATATTCATCTGTCTGTATTAAAGAGCATGAGTTTATGCTGATACCTTTAGTACTAATGCAACATTATAGGGTTCATTCTGTCTTTTTCCTATCTCTCTTTCTAACTCACTTCTCTGACAGTGAGAAATCTTGCTCCCATTACCTATATTTACTTACTTGTTCAGTGCTATAACCAGAAAATAGTTTTAGAATTGCTAACCCATGACTAGAACTGAAAGAAGCCTGCTACCTAGAATTCATACCTCAGGACTTACAGTCTAAATACTACATTAAAAAATTATTTGGGCTGGTTCTTACTCCATCACCACTTGCCCTTCAATGTGGTTATGTTACTCATTTGAAACATGGTTTGGTTTATTTATTTCTGTTCATCTTCCATTATAGGTTTTTTTCTTCATCCTTGTTGGTTTTCTTTCTCTTTTGTTGAATATGTTAAACATTAACATGATTCTCAAAGTTAAAACTGTACAAAAAGATAGATAAGTGACGTCCCTCCGCTTTACAGTGCATTTCTTCTATCCTTTTAACCCCATCTCCACCCACTCCCTATAGCTAACCAATTGCATTAGTCTTTATCTTTTCTGTACTCTTTTATACAAATGACATTTATATTTTTTGTTTTCTCCTTTCTTACACAAAATTCAACATTCTTTCAATATTCTTCTGTACTTTGCTTTCCCCCCACTTATCAGTGTTTTCTGGAAATCACTGTGCATCACTTTGTAGAGATAGTCCTCATTCTTTTTACAGCAATATAGGACTCCATCATGTGGATGTATCATAGTTTATTTAATCACTCTTTTATGAATTACTCTATCGGTTGCTTTCGATGTTTTACAGTTATAAACTATTTTTGTATTCTTTGAGGTGTCTTTGGTGTAGATTCCTGAAGTACAATTGCTGAGTCAAAAGGTAAATTATATACTTTGTTAGACATTGCCAAATTGGAAGTTATACCAGTTTGCATTTCCATAGCATAAAAATGCTTGTCTTCCACAGCCTTCCCAACAAAGTGAGTTGTCATGTCTTTTAAGTTTTGCCGATTGATAATGATAAATAGTATTCAGTATAGTTGTAATTTGCATTTCTCTTACTATGAGTGAAGTTGAACTGTTTTTTTCCATATGTTGACGGCCCCTTTTTTTTTCTTTTTTTATGTTTTAGCTCTTCCTGTCTTTTGCCCATTTTTCTATCAAGTGTTTTTTATTTTATTTTTAAAGACAGGTCTTTCTGTATTGCCCAGGCTGGCCTCGAACGCTAGGCTCAAGTAATTCGCTCACGTCAGCTCCCTGAGTAGCTGGGACAACAGGC